TCTTGTTTCTTTTCTTTTTCTTCTAACAACTGTTGTAATTCTCTTCTCGTTCTTCTTGTTTCTTTTCTTTTTCCTCTAACAACTGTTGTAATTTCTCTTCTCGTTCTTCTTGTTTCTTTTCTTTTTCTTCTAACAACTGTTGTAATTCTCTTCTCGTTCTTCTTGTTTCTTTTCTTTTTCCTCTAACAACTGTTGTAATTTCTCTTCTCGTTCTTCTTGTTTCTTTTCTTTTTCTTCTAACAACTGTTGTAATTCTCTTCTCGTTCTTCTTGTTTCTTTTCTTTTTCCTCTAACAACTGTTGTAATTTCTCTTCTCGTTCTTCTTGTTTCTTTTCTTGTTTATTTTCTCGTTCTTCTTGTTTCTTTTGCTGTTCTTGTATTGCTACCATTAAGTCTGCTAGGCTGTAGTTTGATTTGCCGCTTCCCGTTTCCATTTTTTTATCCCACTCTCTGACACCAATTTGTTACGCCTCCAGTCGTTAGTTAATTAATTTTCCGTAAATTCGTTCCAACGAAACTTTAGCGACACAAGTCCTTTCTTAAATAAAACTGGTTTATTCTTTCTGAATACAACTTTACCGATACACTTAATTTCAACAGTCGCTCTATAACAACGCTATAATTCTCAAAGAACGTTTCACGTGCTCGTGCTCGACAATACTCAGTTCAATTACACACTCTCTGACTGCAGTTCAATTACTCCATACCTCTGTTATCCCGTCACGTTGTGAACGTCTTATATATACAAGACTAACATATATCTAGTAAATGCTAGGGCATTCTTGAAGGAACAGGATATTTCTAGAAACAGGTGGCGTGATACTAGTCACGTGACCTCGCTGACGCAAAAGTATACTATACTTGAACTAGTAACATTTTCTTAGAAAATTTCAGGTCATGGCCTGATGACTAGGTCATTTAAACTTACATTTCTAACTGAACTTTTGACCTATCAATCCTGACCTTTGTTGTAAAAAGCCATGGTTTTTGAACTCTGGTTGTCTTATCTTCAAATCTCTGAATCTGCCAGTGAGCCCAACTCTCACCAGGATCAACTCACATGGAAAAAGACTTCCTGCTCAACGACCCTAACTATGAGGAACTTACCAGAATGACCATTACTCTGGGCAACTGTTTGGAGTTACACCTCTCTACTCCAAACACTGCAGCTAGTTCTGTTTCTGCTAATACTACTCAGACTCTAAATTTCACTGAAGAATTGAAGCACCAGTTATTGCTCTGCTTATGATGATGACTGCCAAACCTTGGCCTTAAAGTGAGGATGAGTTAATGGGGCACCGACAAACCACTCACATCATTTACAAACAAAAGGTTTTCCTGACACATAAAAATGGTCTGGTAAGACTACAACTTCTGCATCTTATTGTGCGTTGTAGCATCTATAATGATAAAATCGTCTAGTGATATCCCCTCAATATCTCTAACCATAATCTCAAAGCACTTGACAGCAAAAGCTGTCAAAGAATGAGGCCAGGTCCAGACTATTAAATGGAAGGTCTGGCCCTTATGTCAGCACAAACTGGACTACCCCATAGAATATCTAATGATTGTGATCATAATCTCACAAATAAGACTTGCTAAGTCCAAAAAGGGATGGCCAACCTAAAAAGAGGAGTTTAGCTGGTCAGAGGCTCTGCAGACAATCTTAGCTAAATGGAAGAGATCTAGTGAACCTCATCACTTTCTTTCCTTGTTTTTATCTAATCCGAGTTAAGATATTTTAAGTTATGCTTAAATTTGTATTACTAGTATTTATTTTGTAAATGATATATTTAAGTTGTGTTCTGATTCATTTTTAAGCCAGTGTTTCAGGCTAATTATAACTTATTTTATTACTGTAGGTACCATGAACTGTATTTTTTATAATGATCTTGAGATTAAATTCAAATCTACCCCAATTTTATTTTGTGTTTATAAATTGTATTCCAGTATTTTTCAGTTTAATCTGTTTATGATATCATACTATAATCTGCATTATGAGTTTATTTTGGGTTTTTACTTTAATTTTATTTCAACCTACCCTTTGACAACTACTTAGTTGTTGTCCTTCTGCATTTGTTAAATGTTCAGTGGTATGTCTGCAGACTTACAACGCTAGAAACCGGGTTTCGATACCCGTGGTGGGCAGAGCACAGATAGCCCATTGTGTAGCTTTGTGCTTAATTCCAAACAAATGAATTTATTATTTATTTAAGTGAGCAAGAAATATTGAGAAAGGAGAAGTAATATGTATAAATATTTTATAAATTTTATCTTACCTTTTGCTGATGTTAGCATTTGGTGACAACTTCCTGCAGTTTCTGCATTTTTATTTCTCTGCAGTGATGATGTATACAGACTTTCTGGCACAACTGAATATTTGATTTCCTTCGTTGATGAATAACTCTTCTGATGTTTGAACTCCTGAACTGGTGGATAAATTTTCTCTTGTGTATCTTGGCATTTATTTCCCTGAATTGGTGTTAAATTTTGTTCATGTATATCTGGATATGTGGACTCTCGAACAGATGGATGCACAATAGGATACTTAGCCTCTTGTGTAAAGCAAGTGTACTTAGGAAATTGGTTCAATGAGTAACTTTGCTCCTGTATTCCAAAATATTTATTGTCAAAATCAAGAGAGTTACTAGTTTCTTTTGCACTGCAGGAAGACTTAAGCTCTAAGTTCGATAGGTATTTTTCACCTTGCATTGCAGGATATTTAGTGTCAATAAATTCTGGGAAGGTCTTCTGTTGTGTGTTGCTTGAATATATGGGTACTTGGTTCGATTGATAACATTTAGATTGTAGAGTTACGTGGTTGAGACCCTGAAGGAATGGGTAGCTTTCCTTTTGTATTCCCAACAATTTAGATTCTTGGATCAATGGATAACTAATCTTATGTGCATCAGAATGTGTGTCTTCCTGACTGGCTGGGTGATTCATCTTATGTGTACTACCAGTATACATGGTTTCTTCATTTAATGAGCAACACTGCTCCTGTGGACTTGAAAATTTGACTTTCTGAGCCACTGGGAAGTTTTCTTCTTGCAATCCTGAATAATTAGGGTCTTGAATTGATAGGTAATTTTTTTCTTGCATGTTTTGATATATATTCTTTGTAGCCAAAAGGTAATCCATATTTTGTGCACTTGGATACTTAACATCTGGAATTACACAGTAGATAGTTGCTTGCGATTCTGGACAACTGGATTCTTGAATCAATGGGTAATTATTCTTCTGTGTATTTAGATATGTTAGTTTTGCATCAAATGGATAACTTTTTTCTTGGGCACGGGAATACTTGGAATCCTGAACCAATGGACTTTTTGTCTCTTGTAATATAGAATAGTTGGGGTCTCTAACTAGTTCATAATGTTTTTCCTCCACAACTTTGTTTTTAATTTGTGCATTATTTTGGTTAATTTCTTCAGCCAATTCAGGATATACATTCTGTTGGATATTTCTATCTGGGGATTTTGAAGCTACCATCTTTTTCTTTGGTTTTGGAGGAACAACTGGGGCAATTTTCTTACCTCTTGTAGTCGAGTACTGTTGGGGAGTGAAATTAGTAATGCTAAGATGACCAAGGTCCTTACGAAGTGTTTCTTGATGAGTGTTCATGCTATAGACTGAAGAAGGATATGCCTCTGCACCTAATTGTATATACACATATGAATAAATTTTACATAAAAATTGCAATATCCTTACCAAAACATACATTTATATATATATAAGTAATTTAATCATCAAAAACAATTAAATCATTGCTCAAGCTGTTTATATACTGAAATTAAAGAACCCATACAACCTTCAATGGGTTCTGCTCAACATATTGTTAAGAATATTATTCAAACTCAAAAACTATATTGAGCAAAACTTTATTAATGTAGATAATGTTCTACCAGTTTGAAAAACTTCAAAATCAATTAACTAAAACTATTCATTCCTCAACTGTCTACAGAATTGGTTAGATTATCTGTAGAGCTTACAAATTTTATATTCAATTTCAAACTCCTATGTAATAAACTATCTAAACCTCAACTTACCAACCTGTAACATACCATTCACTACATTGCTACATATTGAGTAATTTTATGCTACTGCTTGTCACAATATTCAATGTAAAAAAACTGACCACAAAAAAAAAACAAAAAACCTGGGTGAATTCTCTTACTTTATATCCCGGCAGTAGTCATTGGGACTAACTGCAATATTGGATGGAATTTACGTTTGCTCTTATTTGTTCTCTAATACATCATTAGGCATCCTGTAACCAACAAAGTGATGGATCCATGAGTAGTTGGATATTTTACAAAAATTAATTTAAAAAAAGAGCAACTTAAATCTTTTTGAATTCATTTTCCCATTACAGGATTTTTTATATAACTCTGTTTTCTGTTTCATGTCTCAGAGTTTTATTGGGAATTTTTATTCATTAAAATTCATAAATGTTTTCATGTGCAGCAGTTTGTTTTTTCAATAGATTTCTTGCACTCGGATTTGAATCTGAAACCTCTCCCAGGCCAGGAGAGTGCCTTTTTCTTTTCTTTATTACAAAATCCTCCAAAAAACACAAAATACGGCAAATCATTGTACATATAAACAGATTCAAAAATTAGACAAAGAAGAAAACATGGAAAATACATACAACTAAGAATTACAAAAAAACAATAAAAATACTACAGGAAAAGGTTAAGTTTATAATAAAGGACACGTGATAATATAACCCACTGAAGAAACATGAAGTCAGTAAGAAAATGACTGAATACCTGTGATATTATTATGAATTGCATAAATAGAAATATGAAGGCTAATTTTTTCAAGTGCACTGCCAACTGAGCTATAAGGTTTTGACAACTAGTGTTTGGTAGTAACACTTTTTAACAACTTAAGCTACCACACACTTTAGAATCTTCTAAATGAATTCCACAAGTTTTTTTTTAGTAAAAACTTTACATCTATTATTTTCTCTACCCTATCATTAACTGTGAAATCAACAATGTATGGTAAAACGAAAAGTTCAAAATACAAAATAAATCTAATTTCCTTTTTTCTTTCTGAAATGACTGCATACTGTAATAGAAAATCACATCATATTTATTCTAACAGCCAAAGCTCATATAATTTTTGAAGTATTTGGATAATTATGAAAAAATTTTTACAATTACTTCAGTAATTTTGTTAAGATTTAAAACATTTCTAATGTTTGAAGGCCCTGCATGGGCAGGTGGTTAGGGCGCTGGACTCGCAATCTGAGGGTCGTGGGTTCGAATCCCCGCCACACCGAACATGTTCGTCCCTTCAGCCCTGGGAGCATTATAATGTTACGGTCAATCCAATTCGTTGGTAAAAGAGTAGCCCCAGATTTGGCGTTGGATGTTGATAACTAACTGCCTTCCCTCTAGTCTTACACCACTAAACTAGGGACGGCTAGCGCAGATACCCTCGTGCAGCTTTGCGCGAAATTCAAAACAAACCAAACATTATGCTGTCCTACCACAGCTAATTGTTCTCTAATGCTAGCCTTACCTGGTGACCACAGATGGTGTTAAACCTGACCCAAAGAAGTCAGAAGTTTGTAAAAATTATCCAGTGCCCAAAACAGTAAAAGATTTTTTATAGGTTTACACCGCATTTTGCACTGCTTGCAAAACCTTTAACTGAATTAACTCTCAACCATGGGACCAACCTTTTGTGCTGGTTACAGTTTTCATGCTATAACGTTTAAATTAGTAAGATAATGTTAACGAAATTTGGCAGTTTATCAGTAAACATTACAATGCTTTCGTACACAAAATATCTAATATTTTTATTAAGTTTCTCTCATGCCTTTTTTCACATCTGTTTATCTATCATGCAAAGTAATTTTCATTTTAACATTAAAAATACTTTTATGCATCAGAAAATTTTGAAATTTCACATGCTAAAACTTTATAATGTCCAAGTACTTATCAAACGTTTCTTAAGAAAAAACTTTATATTTTATCTATTATTTTCAGTAATTAATCTCTGTACTGGTTTGGTAAATTTGACCGATCTCACAACCACCATACAAAATTGGGAAACAAACATTAAATATGCCTCTTTCATTCTAGAATGAACACGAAAACATAAATGACTGGACGAAATAGCTTAAATCTTATAACATTATACATTTATGTATATATATATATATTATATCGACCTTTCACCCGTGCCCGGCAAGCAATACAGAAGTTACAACAACGTGGCTCACGTGCACCCATATTACCGTATCAAA